TTTGCAGAAAAGACACAGTATGATCCACGGCCCTGGGACTCAGAAGACCAGGATTCTGTTTCTGACTTGCTGCGCAGCCTCGGGCAAGTCATTTCTCTCATCCGTGCCTGTTTCTCCTCCTATGCTTCGTCTGTCTTGTCTGTGTAGACTGTAAGCTCTTCAGGACAGGGGACTGTCTTACTCTTTGTACAGTACCTCTATACACTACTGTAATCTTACTGTTGCTAATAAAATTGATCTCTTCTGGGTTCTAGAGTCCACATGGAAGGAACCAAACAGTGTTGACTTTAGTTGGGGATAGACAAAGCATCCTTTTACAATAGGTTATTTCTGGGATCTAGCTGTATACAATAAGTAACATTTTCTACCTTCATAATTTTAGACCAATCTGGTAAACTGAAGTGCTCCTCCCCACTGCTACTGAATTTGGCTAAAATATCAAGGCAAAAATATTGTTTACCTTAGTTGGCTACTAACCCAGAGGTCAGGCCAGCTGACTCTGTGTCTCGAGATGTCATCCAGTGCTTTAGTCAAACTTGAGAAGACAGCTGGCTTTAGGAAGATGAAGACCGCATACAGTTTGACAGCTTTGGCTTGAGTATCACTAGCATATGCTATGAGGCTTGGGGAACCTTGATTGGTGATTGCATTGTCACCTATACTATTGATGTATGTATGCATTCATTCACTGTGATTTCACAGAGGCTGGGAGCTGCTTTCACATCAGGAAAGCTGATTTGGTACATTTCATTTAGTTTTCCGTTGCCTATATTGCCTGATTCCCTCAGTATATTATTGCTGTTTCCTTGCAAGCATCTGGCAAGGAAAAGGGCAACTCATCCTTCTCACTTGCCTAGGGCAAGTGAGGTTGACACCATGACCCAAACTGTCATGAGGGCTCTGCTGAGTGAAACTGAGACACAATTTACATGTCGAATCATGCTGCATTTATGTCGCATTAGGGCCATATTTATCCCTTCCCCCACTAGGACTAGAGAAAAAGGAGCCTTCCCACATCTGTTGTGCATATTGCACAAGACCCAGGGACAATCGCAATCTCTGCACTTTTAGGAGCACAAGGACAGCTCTCTGCAGGGCCACATATTGCTCCAAAGAGGGTGGAGTGGTCCAACCTGCCTCAACTAGCCAGGGAGCACCCTGCACTATCCAAAGGGATGCTTCAGCATACATGCTCCTACCTGAACACCGGTGGGGGGGGCAAGAAGGGAAAGTACAACCTGAGAGACAATCTCTCTCAGCTCCCCCGGGGCAATGCTGGCTCCATATGCCAGTGTGAAGCAGTATACTCCAGTGGCTAGGGCACATGACTGGGAGTCAGGAGATACGGGGTTCCTGGCTTTGACACTGACCTGCTGTCTGACATCTTGCAAGTCATTTCATCTCTCTGTGCCTTTGATTCCCCTCTGACCCTCTGTCTTGTCTATTTAAGACTTTAAGCTCTGAGGTAGGGGCTGTGTGTGTGTATAGTGCCATGGGTCCTAAACTCACTTGGGGCCGCAACTTGGTGCTACAATACAATTTGTTAAATCATATTGACTCTGGCTAATTATAATTTAACCATTAGTGTATACGCTCTTGAGAAGAATTCACACGCTTTGTGGCCAGCAAAACAATGCTTGATGAGGATGGAGTTTGTACTGTTCTGTCTAAAATGCATTGCTTAGAAACACAGGTGGTGAATGGTGACCAGGGAATGAGACCACTTAGTATAGTGCATAAATACACAACAGGAAAGTTAAGGCTGCTGATCTGAACTCAGTTTCCAGGCTTATCAATAAAATCACAACCTTAGCTCTGAATTAACACAGCTTTTGGTTGATCATAGAAGTGTAGGATGGGAAGGGACCCAAGAGGTCATTTAGTCCAGTCTCCTGCATGCAAGACAGAACTAAGTAGTAACTACTGACAGGTGTTTGTCTAACCTGTTGGTAGAAACCTCCAATGATGGAGATTCCACAACCTTCTTAGGTAATTTGTTCCAGTGCTTAACTGCCATGACAATTAGGAAGTTTTCCTAATGTCCAACCTAAACTGCCTGTGCTGCAGTTTAATCCCACTGCTTCTTGTCCTATCCTCAGAGGTTAAGGAGAATAATTTTTCACCATCCTCCTTGTAACAACCTTTTATGTACTTGAAATTGTTATGCCCCAACCCCCCCTAGTCTTCTCCAGCCTAAACAAACCTAATTTTTTCAATTTTTCCTCATAGGTCATCTTTTCTAAATCTTTAATCATTTTTGTTGTTCTCCTCTGGACTTTCTTCAATTTGTCCACATCTTTCCCGAAATCTTGCACCCAGAACTGGACATAGTACTCCAGCTGAGGCCTTATCAGCATGAAGTAGAATGCAAGAATTACTTCTCCCAGAATGATGATTGCTGCTTTTTTCTTTTTTTTAAATAAAGTGTTACACTGTTGACTCATTTAGTTTGTGATCCACTGTAACCCCCAGATCCCTTTCCTAGGCAGTCATTTCTCATTTTGTACACATACAATTGATTGTTCCTTCCTCAGTGGAGTACTTTTCATTTGTCCTTATTGAATTTCATCCTCTTTATTTCAGACCATTTCTCTAATTTGTCCAGATCATTTTGAATTTTAATCCTGTACTCCAGAGCACTTGCAACCCCTCCCAGATTGGTATTGTCCACAAACTTCGTAAGTGTACTCTCTATGCCATTATCTAAATCATTGATGAAGCCACTGGACAGAAGTTGACCACCCCACTCAATATGTCCTTCCAGTTAGACTGTAAGCCACCCATAACTACTCTCTGGGAATAGTTTTCCAACCAGTTATGCACCTACCTTATAGTAGTTCCATCTAGGCTGTATTTCCCTAGCTTGTTTATGAAAAGGTCATGTAAGACTTCTGATACTGTCTCACTAAAACCAAGATATACCATATCTACCCCTTCCCGCTATCCACAAGGCTTGTTACCTTGTCAAAGAAAACTATTAGGTTGGTTTGACATATTTTGTTCTTGACAAATTGATACAGTTACTTATCACCTTATTATCTTCTAAGTGTTTGCAAATTGATTACTTGATCCATTATCTTTCCAGATACTGGTCTCTAATTCCCTGGGTTCAACTGAGGCCAGGTGAAAGCATAGGTTTTGGTCCTTACCTTTATACTCTTATTGTAGAAACAGGGGCTGGCAACAGATACTATGTATTATAATTTATTTATCAAAAAAACTCTGAGCAGAGACTAGATATAATCAGAGGTTGAAGTTGTATTCTCTAAATAAGCATTATTTGCTATATCTACTTTTTAACTACTGACCATAAAACCATAATAAACTAGGCTGAGATGGCTTTTCTAGAGCCTACCAGCTTCTTTGTTTCCAGGGAGCTATTCTAGCAGCATTAATATTTTATACTTATAGTGGAGACTTTCCATGCACACCAGTGTGAGGTTTGCTACCTTACAGATGGGGAAACTGGTTATGCAGCTTCCTCACTGTCACAGAGCAAGTCAGGGGTTGGACGGAAATAGAATTTGTGTCTCCTGACCTTCAGTGCCCCACTGTTCAATCATGAGAAAATTCTGCCTTTGTGCTACTAGAACTTAAACCCTCAGGCTTTTTTAAGTAAGATTCTCATACACTACTTCAGAAACTCCCTTTTAATAATAGCTTGCACATGTATAGCATCTTTCACTTAAGGATTTGAAACTGTTATTTAAGCTTTGAGAGATAACAAAGCACAGAGGGCTCAGTGAAGGGAAAGATGAAAAAATCCTAATTTCCAGCCCATTCAGCATATTGACAACAATCACTGGGAATAAAGACTCATCTCTACAGCCATCAGGTTTCCACCGGTCGCTTACATCAGTGTTTTTCAAACCGTGGTATGTAAGGCGCTGGGTCGCCTTGCTCTGGTCAGCACCACCAATCGGGCCAGTAAAAGTCCCGTCGGCGGTGCTGCCTTGCTAAGGCAAGCTAGTGCCTACCTTTTCCGACACCACGCTGCACCCCAGAAGTGGCCAACAGCAGGTCCATCTTCTAGGCATGCGCCCTGCCCCCGCCCTGAGCACCGTCTCCACACTCCATTGGCCAGCTCCCAGCCAATGTGAGGTTGGTGGGGGGGGGCGTGCCTACGGGCAAGAGTCACGCAGAGCCACTTGCAAGCCTCTGCCTAGGAGCCAGACCTGCTGCTGGACACTTCCAAGGTGCAGCACAATCCACAGTGTACCCTGGCTGCACCGCTGAAAAGGAGCCAGCAGAGGTAAGTCTGTGCCCCAACCCTGCACCCACATCCCCAGCCCTGAGCCCCCCAAAACCTGGAACCCCTTCCTGCACCCCAAACCCCTCATCCCCAGCCCTGATCCCCACCTGCTCCCCAGCCCAGAGTCCCCTCCCACACCCTGAACCCCTCACTCCCAACCCTCTTCCCAAGCTCTGAGCCCCTCCCACGCCAAACCCCTCATCCCCAGCTCCGTTGGGTCGCGGGCATCAACAATTTTCTTCAACTGGGTCCCCAGAAAAAAAGTTTGAAAACCACTGCCTTACATAATGCCTGTGTAGAGTTACTTATTCCAGTGCCCTTAATGTCAAACTACCCCACTGTATTTTCCCCTGTTCAACACCCTTCTAAAGTGAAGCTCTATTCTGAAGAGTGTAAAAGTGGCAGTGTGGTGGCCCATGGCTATTGCATCTAACTCAGGGGTCGCCAACCAGCGGCACGTGAGCTGATTTTTAGTGGCACTTTGCTACCAGCCAGGGTCCCGGCTGCCGGCCTCGATGGACAGACCCCCGGGCCAGCAAAGGGCTGAGCAGGGCTGGCGGACGGAACCCCAGACTGGCAGCTGGCTGAGCAGCAGCAGACAAGACTCTGGATACATAGCGCATACTTACTAAGTAATAAAGCACACTTTAGGATCAAACATTTATTTCCTTTTCAGTGGAAAATTCCTTTCCCTTTGGAAAGAACAAATTTCTGCCATTCTCCCACCATACTGCAAATGAAAGTGATGTCAATATGACTTCCTTTTATTTAATTTGCTGATTTTTCACAACAGCATGCCAGGCTTTCACGTAAGCACTAGAAGAGATTTGTTTTCTCTTTCTCTAATTATGATACATAGTATGTTACATGTGCAACTAAAATGCAGAGAACATTCCTGACTGATTACAATTTCTAGGTAGGTCAAGCTCCATGCATACACAAGTTTCCAATATCTTGCTTAACTCACAACATTCCTCCCCATATCCCTCAATCCCCTTTCTCTACCATCAGACCATCTCTAACAAAGCAGAGGAACTCAAAAAGTTAGGAAGAAATACATTTTTAAGTTCTGCTCAAGTTTGGTCCAAACAATTTTGTAAAACAAACACAAAGTTCCAAAATATTAACTCAGTGTCTGTCAATATGGAAACCCAGTCAGTTTATTTCTTTTTTAAAAAAGTAACAAATTAGCTTACAATGATGCAAAGTTAGAACTTCTCTGGAAAAGCCATCATTTCTTCCTTGATTCTGTTCTCTATGTGTAATGTGAAACTGCTGTCTGTATTCTGAAGATTGTAGCTGACGAAGATCTGTTTTTTAGTCTTCCTGGCTAAAATACAAAACCAAGAACAGTCATCCGTTACTCATTCCTATATTAGTGCTGGTAGTAATCAAACATTTTATGGAGAGAAAGGAGGCAAGTTTTCCATTCCGCAATACAAATGCACTGACCTGGACCAACCACCTCTAAAGTAGTCGTATAACCTATATACCTACTCAGTGTGGCTTGTTGGCTAAAAACCTTAGGTAGCAGACAGCGATGAGTGCTGTGCAGCAGATATGGCAGTTAGGTTAGGGCCTGATTCAAAGTCCACAGTAGTTAATGGAAAGGCTTCAATTGGCTTTGGATCAGGCTCTTAAACATAATGTAGTTCAAGATAAATTATAGGTTATACTGGACTCCTTCCCAGATTACACAGACTAAATTGAAGAGATAATTTATGCTCAAAGATGCTTTGGGGAGGTGGGGGGATAGAATTAAGTAATTAGACATTCAAAAAAGCCTAGTAGAAAAATGCTAGGATAATCTAATGATAAAGTAGATACCATATTACCTGATCTATGTACATTATACCAGTTATTTTCCATGGCAGACCTAACAGTGGTGGTTAAAAAAAATAAATCCCCAAACTGTGGAAAGATGGCTCTAAATGATCAGCAGGGGAATGGATGACATGAAAAAAAGTTACAGTATAGAAAATAGACTTCCTAATTTTGATAAAATAATACCTAGGCACTCATACAATGCCATCTTTAATGAACTGTGCAAACTAAGGAATGGGTGATATGTAGGCAGCTTGGGAAACCTGAGGAACAAAAACTGAGTTGCCCAAAATGGTAACTGGCGACAGGCTGAGATCCATAAAGGTATTTAGGCTCCTGTCACTGAAATAAATTGCAGCGTTATTGTAGCCCTGTTGATCCCAAGATGAGAGAGAGACAAGGCAGGTCAGGTAATACCTTTTTGGAAGTGAGGAGCCCTTGTAATCTTATTCATGGTGTCAGAGCCAGAAAAGAACTCAGGTGTTTTGAGCTACCAGTCCCATGCCCCTTTTGTATATAGGGCCCAATCTGGCAAAGCACTTAAGTACAAACTTAAATGCTTTGCTGAATCATCACCTTAGTACATCACTCTCACGTATCTTGGGAGACTGACCAGTCCTCGCTTATAGACAGCCCCCCAACCTGAAGCAAATACTCACCAGCAACCACACAACAAAAACGCTAACCCAGGAACCTATCCTTGCAACAAAGCCCGATGCCAACTCTGACCACATATCTATTCAAGTGACACCATCATAGGATCTAATCACATCAGCCACGCCATCAGGGACTCATTCACCTGCACATCTACCAATGTGATACATGCCATCATGTGCCAGCAATGCCCCTCTGCCATGTACATTGCCCAAACCGGACAGACTCTACGCAAAAGAATAAATGGACACAAATCTGACATCAGGAATCATGACATTCAAAAACCAATAGGAGAACACTTCAACCCCTCTGGTCACTCAATAACAGACTTAAAGGTGGCAATTTTGCAACAGAAAAGCGTCAAAAACAGACTCCAACAAGAAACTGCTGAACTGGAATTAATTTGCAAACAAGATACCATTAACTTGGGCTTGAATAGAGACTGGGAGAAGCTGGGTCATTACACAAATTGAATCTATATCCCCATGTTAAGTATCCTCACATCTTGTCAACTGTCTGAAATGGGCCATCTTGATTATCACTACAAAAGTTTTTTTTTCTCCTACTGATAATAGCTCATCTTAATTAATTAGCCTCTTAGAGTTGGTATGGCAACTTCCACCGTTTTATGTTCTCTGTATATATATCTTCTTACTATATGTTCCATTCTATGCATCTGATGAAGTGGGCTGTAGCCCACGAAAGCTTACGCTCAAATAAATTTTGTTAGACTTTAAGGTGCCACAAGTACTCCTGTTCTTAGTATAAAAGTCAGTCCTGAACACAAAGCCACAACTAACAAAGGAAACAGCATGACAAATGCTTGAAATGGCAATGGGAGAAAGAAATGTACACCGCAGATTTCCAAAGAGGACAGACAGGTATCTTCCTTTCATAAATTCTTTCACTTAGACCGTACAGGAACAAATAACTTTTCTGTGTACCAAACTAGATATTAATTTAAGACATGATTGTTCCCCAGAATATTCCAAGGATTATCTTTTGTATCTTAAAAAAAAAAAAGATAGTCAGGAATTCCTAAAAAATCTCAATCCATCTCAGCCAGCTGGAAAATCAAGGACAGAAAGACTGTACTCTTCTGAATTTCTCTTTTAAAAAGCAATTTTGAGGCTGTTTCATTATTACACCAATCAATTCAATTGACTTATCTTATATTCTAATAGAACGATCAACTTCCTCTTGGCTCAGTGAGACGAGGGAGCCCTATGAACTGCTTCTGAAACGGATTCATTTTCTTTTTAACAATTCGCACAATAACATTAATGGAATGTGGCTTGTTGCGCTAATATGCTACAACTTGAAAAACAAGCATGTCTGCCCTGGTATTGGCCCCTGTGGTACAAAGCCTCATGTTATCATCAAGGCTTAAAAATTCTCATATTAAATAACTGGAGTACTAATTCTAAACTGAAAGTTGAATTAATTGCCACACTGCTTTAACCAACAGACTGAGTTGTGAATTACTTCTGTACCAAGTCTGGCCTTAGTCATCTGGAAGAGACCATGAAATGCAGTTTCCAATGCTTGTGAATGCTACTGGTCCGTTGACGCTTTTTGCAAGAGTAGTCCCGTGTCCTGGTTGAAACTCCAATAGGACAGTTAAATCCTGCCCCCATCTAATTTGCCCTGCAGAGTCAACAGGATATATGCCCTGCTCATTATATTCCCTTGAAATGAGAAGAAAAGGGGAGATTTTGTACACAAAATACTACAGTGATCTCTGATGTTACTCTGTCTCCTCATCCCCTCAGAGGGGTGAGATCTGCAACTTCAAAGAACTGGATGGGTTTTGTGCCACTCAAGCTAGTGAAACTAGGAAAATTAGGAAAAACTTTTTCACTAGGAGTGAAACACTGGAATGCGTTACCTAGGGAGGTGGTGGAATCTCCTTCCTTAGATATTTTTAAGGTCAGGCTTGACAAAGCCCTGGCTGGGATGATTTAATTGGGGATTGGTCTTGCTTTGAGCAGGGGGTTGGACTAGATGACCTCCTGAGGTCCCTTCCAACCCTGATATTCTATGATTCTATAATTCTATGAAACATCGACCCAGATCCTTAAAGGTATGTAGGTACCTAACTCCCCTTGAAATGAATGAGTTCAGTGCCTGAATACCTTTGAGGATCTGAGCAGTAGTTCTACAGCTAGCTGATCCACAGCCACACAGAGCAGATGCCATTCCACGGAGCCTGCCTGCTCTCCTTTAACCTAGGCAGCATGACTAGCTCTTGAGCTGTACCGAACACAGCAAGTCCTTCTACACAGCAGAAACGCTGGTTAACCAGCAATGAGATCCACAGCATCCCGATTCACAATCTCAACATTGCAATAGTCTTGGAGAAGAAAAGGTCCTGTAGGATTGGGAGAGGCCACAAACATGGAGGAGAGTTACTGCTCCCCAACTCACAGACTTACCACTCCTGTTCTGACCACTTGTGCTCTCACCTATAATGTGGGTAGAGGGGAGCATTCAGTTAATGGGTTCACTTTCTGGCCTACAGCACTGCTGTGAGCTATTGGACAGATGCCCCATTTCACTGCTGGGTGAGGAGATTCCTGTGTGCATATGCCCATTTCCTTAAATCTGCAATCTGGGCCAATAATTTGTAGAGTGCTTCGGGATCTTTCTGGCTGAAGAGAGCTGTAGAAAAGTAGGATGTAGAGGTAGCCTTTATTTACGCCTGCACAATTCTGCACATGTGTGTGTGCAGGCATCGGTGCTGGCATCTGCAGAGTGCAGGAGTGTGCACAGTAAGCTGCCTAATCCCTGTGCATGCGTATGGAAGCGATGAAAGACTATGTAAAAGTGCCTGTGCAAGTGTTTGGGGCGAGGGAGTGGATAGGGAGAGGCCTACCTGAACGTTTATTCCTGTCCCGTATTAATCGCTAAACAAAACACGGGGATTACTGAAATGCAAAGCCCTCATTATATTCGTTATCAATAATGTCCCTCAGCAGCGGTGCCAGGAGATTCCTAGGATAACACTCCTATTACCAGCAATGAAACCTAGTGCTTTCTGCCTTTCAAACGCTGTAGTACAGCAGAACCTCAGAGTTACGAACTGACCTGTCAACCACACATCCCATTTGGAACTGGAAGTATGCAATCAGGCAGCAACAGAGACGGGAGGGGGGAAATAAACACAGTACTTTGTTAAACAAACTACTAAAAGAGTAAAGGGAAAGTTTAAAAAAAGATTTGCAAGGTAAGGAAACTGTTTCTGTGCTTGTTTCATTTAAATTAAGATGGTTAAAAGCAGCATTCTTCTTCTTGTTTCAAAGCTGTATTAAGATAGTGTTCAGTTGCAAACTTTTGAAAAAACAACTCATGTTTTGTTCAGAGTTACGAACATCTCATGGTTACGTACAACCTCCATCCTGATGTGTTTGTAACTGAGGTTCTACTGCAGCTATATAGGTGTAGAGAACGGTAGCACTGACTCAGTAAGGTATTTAAGCACATGCCTAACTTTAAGCAGGTGAGCAGTAGAAATGTGAAAAGTTAGGCATGAAGAATTCAAAGCCATAGAATAAAAGTTTTTCCTCAAGAATGATTCACTCTAATACTTTGCTTTAACACAATGCAAGCTTCAAGCATGGTCAGACAATATTTAAGCTCATGTCTACATGAGACAAATATATGCCTCTTACTGAGAAGTCAGACAACATTATTTGTAGTGACAGCAAAGGTGATTCATTGCCAAAGATGCGAGGTGAGAGCAAAAACAACCACAGAATTTAAAAAGTACAAGTGTGTTATAAAACATCTGAACCATTCAAGAACACACCTAGTCGCTGGGCTAGAGAATTTGAGATGGTGTCAGAGGCACCCCCCAGGAGTGATGTAGACACTGGAATGGAGTCCTGAAAAGAAAGCAAAGAATCAGTTATTTATTCTGTACTAAAATTAGCTATTTTTTCCCCCGAGGAGATGGCTGCAAGTAATAAGTCACAACAATAGGCACTTTTTCTGTTTTGGTTTTAAAAAAGAGGAATCCCAAAAGACTTACATTTCCTACAGTCATTTGAGTCCTTATGTCCTACCATGTCAAGGTGAACTCACCAAAACAACAACCAACCAAATCACAGTGTCCTTTACATTATATAAAGATGGTGGAGGGGAGTTTCAAAACACCAAGGAGCACTTACAATGAATTTGCAATTACACTGACTAGTATTCCCAAATCCCTGAGGCACTTTTGAAAATCTCCCCTGGTGTCTACAATTTTTTTATACAGTGTATCCATTAAAATAGTCTTTAATTACACACACCCATACTATTTCACAAATAATACAATATACAGTTTTTAAAAAAGAAAAATTCCATAATCTGGAAATACTTGAGTAAACACCACCTAAATATCCTGTCCCATTCAAGAATCCAATTCTGCAACCCTTGCTTACGCTGAGAAGTGAACAAGTAATTTCACTGAGACTACTCATATAATTAAGTGTTACTTATTGAGGAGTGCACAACTGGGCCCTCACTGAGGCATGGGCTCCTATGAAGCCTGTCACTGAACAAACACTGCCTCATAAAAAACTTTATGCACTGGACACGTTTTCAAGTGTGTGTACCACTGTGCATGGTCTGACTATGTCTACATTGCAAGTAGACACCCAGAGCTGGCCTGTGTCAGCTGACTTGGGCTCATGGGGCTTGGGCTGTGAGGGTGTTTAATTGCAGTGTAAACATACCCTATGAGGAAAGTTTCCTACACAGTCCTGCCCATTTAAAGTGTGCTATATTGGCAGTAAATGATGAAGGGCTCCTAACACAATGGGGTCTTGGTGCATACCTGGAGCTCCTAGAGGCTGCCCCAATCCAAATCACAACACATAGCCATAGGCTTTAAGGCCAGAAGGCCTGAGCATGTGGGCAAGACGCACCTGGGAAAGAATTTGCTGTAGTAACTCAGAACCCTGCCCATCTACTGTCCCATCTCTGGCTTTTGGAGATATTTTTGAATTAATCAATTCAATCCCCATTTACTCACTCAAAGAGGTATCGTTCCTTACTATGTAGTAAATAAGATGTACTCTTCCACAGACCTGTCTCATTCAATGCCCAGATCTTGAATCCGCTAAAAAAAATTACTACACAGTCAAAATTGTCATGCTGGCACAGCCTGCTATGTCCCCCTTGGGAATACTGGCAAATTGTTGTCAAATATATTGCAATTGTCAAAATCTACTACAGATGAGCAAAGTGCAATTTTCAAAGGCTTATACTGAGCCAAATTAGCCAGCCAGTTTGTTGAATGGAGCATTAAAATGGGAGTCAAGAGACCTGGATTCTAATCCTGGCTCTGCCCACTATCCTGATGCAAGATGTTGGGCTGTTGTATCTCTTCAATTCTGTGCCTCAGTTTCCCCCATCCATAAAATGGGGATAACACTTACTTTCTCCTGTAACGCGCTGTGAGAGCTACAGAGGAAAAAATGGTCTAATACAACACCCACTGAAATCAATGGGAGTCTTTCCATTGACTTCAGTAGTTTGACTGAATCCTCTAAGAGTTAAGAATCATGATAACACTTGAAGACACTTTTCTGTCAAATTTTACCCATTTCTCTGCCAAATAATATACTTACATCCTCCATCTATTTGACAAGATGCTGCAATGAAAGGGAATATTCCCTCTCCCTCCCACATAAACTCTTCTAGTTCTCAAAAGCTGCTCAACTGTTCATCCTAAAATTTCAACTCTTGGGAGGGAAGTTCAGCAAAGGTATAAATGACAGAAAAGGGGTTCAAAGGGAAATGCTTGGGTAGTGTGTAGACTAGAAAAATAAATAGTGGGTAAAATTTTCAGAAGCATTTAATCATGTAGGAGCCTACATCCCATTACTAAAAGTAAGTCTAATTGAAAGTAATGGAATTTAAGCTCCTAAATAGGTGCTTTTGAAAATTTTACCCCAGCCTGGCCTACACCTAAAACTTAGGGCTGGGTTATCTAACGTTAGGTTGGCTTGGCTTAATTACAATGCATAGGGCATGCAGGCCCAGGCACCGCCTCTCAGAAAGATGGATTTAATACAGCCACATAAGAACCCCTTCTATTGCTGCAGTAAGTGCCTATGCTACATCAGTTTTAGGTGCGAAATGATGTTTAAACACCGGGGGTGGTGGGCGGAGCTGCCTATCCCCCAGCGGCTCTTGCTACAGCCCTAGTTGCGTCTACACTGTGCGACCAAGTTAGGCCAGCCTAACCCCCAGTGTAGACACAGCTAAGTCCTTGGATGAATTCTTCTGCGGACCTAGTTGTTGCCTCTGGAGGGGATGGGTTGACTACAGGGATGGCCAGACCCCGTCCCTCGCTGGAGCAAGCACCGACCCTACCATGCGCCACTGGAGCCTACCCAGCCCCCACTGCGCAACTTGGCACCTCCACCTGGGTTTGCCATCTGTAGAACTGCATTAGCCCGCCCCATCCTCAGCTACCCCCTAGGCGGGCCAGGCCCCGTTCACACCGTGTCAAAGGGGATCCGGCCTGTTTACACGAGGGTTTAAAACGTGGCAGGTGCCGCTTTGCCAACACCGTCCTCGGGGGACCGGGCCCGCCGGCCACCTGCCAGCCCCGGGGGTCCCGCGGGGGAGGGGCCGGGGCTCTGCGGCCCCGGCGGAAAGGGAAGGGAGGCGGGGGCAGGAGGCCGGTGAGTGGGGAGCGCGGGGCACTCACGTGGGGGCTGCACATGGCCACAGCCAGGCTGCGGAGCGCGGGCTCCGCCCCCACCCAGAGGAAGAGCGAGTCCCGCAGCCGCATGGCGTGGAAGTGCACGAGCTGCTCCCCCGCGCGCCCGCAGAAATCGTGCAGGGAAATCCCGGCCGGGGGCGCTCCCTCCGGCGCGTGGCGCGGGGACCCCGCCGCCGCCGCCGCCTGCTGCTGCTGCTGCGGCTCCATCCGCCTCGCGCCCGGCCGCGCGCCCGGTCTCGCCTGCCGCTGCCAGGCCAGAGCAAACGATCCCCGAGCGCAGGCCTGGCCCTTGCCGCGCCCGGCGGCGGTGGGCAGGGAGCCAAGCCTGGCCCGCGCCACAGGAGGGTAGCTGGGCTCCTCCCCTCTCCCCCCCCCCTTGCTCTGTCCCCCCAGGTTGTTCCCAGCTGCCCCGGCCTTATTCCTGCTCTCAGCCTTCACCCCCAGCTCCTGTCCCTGCAGCCCCCCCGGGCGCCCCCTGAGCTGAAGCTGGGGGTGCTCAGGGCCTCTAAAATCTGGCTGCCCCGCTGCAACCCGTGCCGGGGGCCTTCTGCTGCAACCCCCACTTCTCCTTTAGGGCGTCGGCTTTGGTCCAAATCGGAGATGGGCCTTGGGGACTGAGGGTCCCCGTATTGTACCCGACCTATGCGGGGGGGGGGAGGCGGTGTGGACATGTAAAGGCAGCGCTCTTCAGTCCAAGCCTTCTTACTTCCACATCCATCACGGTCCGGCAGGATCTGGCTAAGGTTTAGGGCCACGCCACCGGCCCCCGCTCCTGGAGGCACAGGAGCATATCACAAGCTCAGCTTTCTTTTCAGGGTTGTGAAGCGGTGAAACTTGAAAACGTGACCCGTGCAGCTGCTGTCGGCCGCAGTCAGCAGAAATCCTGATGCCATAGCTCAAAAATATGAAGTGCCCCATGCATCTCACTGGTATGGGGTGGGGGGTGTTTAAATCCAAGACCCACTGCTCTGGAGAACCCATCATTGGATTTTGTATGTGGTGAGAAGCATGCGGTGGTCCAACTCACCCCCCTTGCTCCTGGAAGACATGCTCGCTGCTCCGAGGGGGCTCATGTTGCCACTCCTGAGATGAGAGGTTGGAAGGAGAAAAGACCTCACAACCACTCCAAGCAGGGGCCAGGCCACTGAAGGCACCATCACGTAGTGTGCCTAGGGTCCTGTATTGCCTAAATTTAGTCATCCTCTCAGGATGCTCCTGTAGATAAGAGCAAATATACAGCACTCTATCCATAGATCTCAACGCATTTTACAAGGGATAGTAAGCATAATTATACCCGCTTTACAGGCAGGGAAAGTCAGGCCTGGAGAGTTTACAGACTTGCTTTGAAGAGTTGCTACGCCACCACAATTGTATTCTAAGTCAATTGTAGGTGCTCTGCACCTTTGAGAATCAGCTTTTTTTATTCAGGAGCCTTCATATGGATTTAAGAGCCTAACAAGGTACCCAGGGTTGAAAATGTTACCTCTTGTTTTTTATAGAAAGATTGTTCTGTACACTACTCTAGGCTAGGAACACACAAAGTTACTATGTACACAGGAAATATTGAAAGGCAAAGATGTGTTTTGTTTTTATCCAAAGGAGAATTGTGAAAGTGTGATTGTGGCAATAATCAAGTAGCCATCACTACACACTCGCTTCAATACAGGAGAAGTAGGATTTGATAGGCTGGGGGAAACCCGACAGTTGCGGAGGAGCATGTGGATTGGACAGAGACATCCCTTAGGGGAGGATCTACTAGTGGAGATTCTCTGTGTCTTAGTAAGGAGGAGAGTATGGAAGATGATAAAATACAGGTAGGATCTGATGAGAAACAGTCAAATGAAAAAAAGTCTCATTCAATTACATCATGTAAAGGGAGACAGTTAAAAAGTGACAAGTTTTTAAAGTGCTTATATACCAATGCTAGAAGTCTAAATAATAAGATGGGTGAACTAGAGCGTCTCATATTAAATGAGGATATTGATATAATAGGCATCACAGAAACTTGGTGGAACAAGGATAATCAATGGGACACGGTAATACCAGGGTACAAAATATATCAGAAGGACAGGACAGGCCATGCTGGTGGGGGAGTGGCACTATATGTGAAAGAAAGCATAGAATCAAATTCAGTAAAAATCTTAAATGAACCAAACTGTACCATAAAATCTCTATGGATAGTAATTCCATGCTTGAATAATAAGAATATACCAGTAGGGATTTATTACCGACCACCTGACCAGGATAGTGATAGTGACTGCGAAATGCTCAGAGAGATTAGAGAGGCTATTAAAATAAAAAACTCAAAAATAATGGGGGATTTCAACAATCCCCATATTGACTGGGTACATGTCACCTCGGGACAGGATGCAGAGATAAAGTTTCTTGAAACCTTAAATGACTGCCTCTTGGAGCAGCTAGTCCTGGAACACAGAACAGGAGAGGCAATTCTTGATTTAGTCCTAAGTGGAGCACAGGATCTGGTACAAGAGGTGAATATAGCTGGACTGCTTGGTAATAGTGACCATAATATAATTTAATTTAACATCTCTGTGACGGGGAAAACACCACAGAGGTCCAACCTGCAGCATTTAATTTCAGAAAGGGAAACTACACAAAAATGAGGAAGTTAGTTAAACAGAAGTTAAAAGGTACAGTACCAAAATTGAAATCCCTGCAAGCTGCATTAAAGACACCATAATAGAGGCTCAATTTCAATGTATACCCCAAATTAAAAAAACATGGTAAGAGAACCAAAAAAGAACCACTGTGGGTAAACAACAAAGTAAGAGAAGCAGTGAGAGGCAAAAAGGCATCCTTTAAAAAGTGGAAGCTAAATCCTAGTGAGGAAAATAGAAAGGAGCATAAACTCTGTCAAATGAAGTGTAAAAATATAATTAGGAATGCCAAAAAAGAATCTGAAGAACAGCTAGCCAAAGACTCAAAAAGTAATAGCAAAAAAAAATGTTTAAATACATCAGAAGCAGGAAGCCTGCTAAACAACCAGTGGGGCCACCGGATGATTGAGATGCTAAAGGAGCACTCAAGGATGATAAGGCCATTGCAGAGAAACTAAATGAATTCTGTGCATTGGTCTTCACGGTTGAGAGGATGTGAGGGAGATTCCCAAACCTGAGCCATTCTTTTTAGGTGACAAATCTGATGAATTGTCTCAGATTGAGGTGTCATTAGAGGAGGTTTTGGAACAAATTGGTAAACTAAACAGTAATAGGTCACTAGGACCAGATGGTATTCACACAAGAGTTCTGAAGGAACTCAAATGTGAAATTGCAGGACTACTAACCATAGTCTGTAACCTATAATTTAAATCAGCTTCTGTACCAAATAACTGGAGGATAGCTAATGTGACGCCAATTTTTTAAAAGGGCTCCAGAGGTGACCCCAGCAATTACAGGTCAGTAAGCCTGACTTCAGTACCGGGCAAACTGATTGAAATGATAGTAAAGAACAGAATTTTCAGATGCATAGATGAACATAATTTGTTGGGGAAGAGTCAACATGGTTTTTGTAAAGGGAAATTATGCCTCACCAATCTACTAGAATTCTTTAAGGGGATCAACAAGCATGTGGACAAGGGGGATCCAGTGGATATAGCATATTTAGATTTTCAGAAAGCCTTTGACAAGGTCCCTCACCAAAGGCTCTTAAGCAAAGTAAGCAGTCATGGGATAAGAGGGAAGGTCCCCTCATGGATTGGTAACTGGTTAAAAGATAGAAAACAAAGGGCAGGGATAAATGGTCAGTTTTCAAAATGGAGAGAGGTAAATAGTGGTGTCCCCCAGGGGTCCGTACTGGGCCCAGTCCTATTCAACATATTCATAAATGATCTGAAAGAAGTGAGGTGGCAAAATTTGCAGATGATACTCAACTACTCAAGATAGTTAAGGCAGACTGAAAGAGCTACAAAAGGATCTCTCAAAACTGGGTGACTGGGCAACAAAATGGCAGATGAAATTCAATGTTGATAAATGCAAAGTAATGTACATTGGAAAACATAATCCCAACTATACATATAAAATAATGGGATCTAAATTAACAAGAAAGAGTCATTGTGGATAGTTCTCTGAAAACATCCACTCAATGTGCAGCAGCAGTCAAAAAAGCAAACAGAATGGTGGGAATCATTAAGAAAGGGATAGATAATAAGACAGAAAATATCATATTGCCTATATATAAATCTATGGTACGCCCACATCTACTGCGTGCAGATGTGGTCACCACGTCTCAAAAAAGATATATTGGAATTGGAAAAGGGCAACAAAAATGATTAAGGGCATGGAACTGCTGCCATATGAGGAGAGATTAATAAGACTGGGACTTTTCAGCTTGGAAAAACGATGACTAAGGAGGGATGTGATAAAGGTCTATAAAATCATGACTGGTGTGGAAAAAGTAAATAAGGAAGTGTTATTTACTCCTTCTCATAACACAAGAACAAGGGGTCACCAAATGAAATTAATAGGCAGCAGGTTTAAAACAAACAAAAGGAAGTATTTTTTCACACAACGCACAGTTGACCTGTGGAACTCCTTGCCAGAGGATGTTGTGAAGGCCAAGACTATAACAGGGGTCAAAAAAGAACTAGATAAATGCATGGAGGCTAGGTCAATCAATGGCTTTTAGCCAGAATGGGCAGGGATGATGTCCTTAGCCTCTGTTTGCCAGAAGCTGGGAATGGGCGACAAGAGATGAATCACTTGATGTTTACCCGTTCTGTTCATTCTCTCTGGGGCACTGGATCTGGCCACTGTCGGAAAACAGGATACTGGGCTAGATGGACCTTTGGTCTGACCTAGTGTGGCCTTTCTTATGTTCTTATGAACCCAAAGGAAACATTTGATGTTTTGAAACATTTGAAGCAAATAGGAAGCTTGAGTTTTAGGTTTCTGCTAGTCAAATATACAGGAAGATAAATACAGAAAATATTACACAGAAGCGGAATTGCATCTAAATAGGTGCAATCAGGAAAAGAACACAATAGAGAGAATTCTGACAACAGCTGCAGTTGTGATGGCTGGAATCCACCAGGTGGCACAGTAAATTGGCAAGATGATATGCCAAAGCTAGAGGTAAACTGGGATACAGCTGGCTATAATAAATTACACTCCATTTTCCCCAGGATCTGCAGAGCCAAAGTCTGATTCTTGAGTGTTTTCCAACATGCTATCCCATACCAGAAATCTCTGGGAAGATAATGTTGATACTGTCCTTACTCA